GAGAATGAAAGAGAGGGAGTGTGGGGAGAGACAAAGAAAGAGAGAGAGAGGTGGAGAGGTGGAGAGATGGAAGGAGGAGGAGGAGAAAGGAGAGAAGGAGAGAAGGAGAGTAGAGAGTAGGAGAGTAGGAGAGAGGAGGAAGAGGAAGGAGGAGAGAGAGAGAGAGAGAAGAGAGAGAGAGAGAGAGAGAGAGAGAGAGAGAGAGAGAGAGAGGAGAGAGAGAGAGAGAGAGAGAGAGAGAGAGAGAGAGGAGAGAGAGGGGGGGGGAATGAGAGAGGAGGGGAGAGAGGAGGGAGAGAGGAGGGAGAAGGGGGGAGGGAGGGAGGGAGAGAGATGAGGAGGGAGCAGAGAGAGAGGAGAAAGGGAGAGAGAGAGGGGGAAAAGAAAAAGAGGAGAGAGAAGAGAGAGAAGAGAGAGAAGAGAGATGAGGGAGGGAAGAAGCGAGAGAGAGAGAGGAGTGTGTGTGAGTGTGTGTGTGTGTGTGTGTGTGTGTGTGTGTGTGTGTGTGTGAGAGAGAGAGAGAGAGAGAGAGAGAGAGAGAGAGAGAGAGAGAGAGAGGAGAGAGAGAGAGAGAGAGAGAGAGGAGAGAGAGAGAGGAGAGAGAGAGAGAGAGAGGATAGATAGATAGAGAGACAGGAAAGAGAGAGGAGAGAGGGAGGAGAGAGAGAGACGAGGGGGGAGGGAGGGACGGGGAGGGAGGGAGGGAGGGAGGGAGAGGGAGGGAGAAGAGAGAGCGAGAGAGAGAGAGAAGAAGAGAGAGAGAGACAAACCAATGCACAAGAATAAAAGACCTCAACGATTACCAGTCTGTCAGTTCGTTCGCATCCAAGAAACGCACTCTTGGGATCTTTCATGCTCTATACACCTGCTTCCGTCCGGTGGATGAGTTTTCAAGACTGCAAGGTCCTTATTCCCTACCAATACACAGACAAATAGGCATTCGTACACATACATGCATATATACAAACATACATTAACATGCATATCAATTCACCATCTCAAGCAACTTTCAACCTAACCCAGACACCGAAGGCATGAACGTGACCAAAATCCGACCCATCACTTGCCAACGCAGGCCGCTTGTCCCACTCGCAGAGTACGTGGAAGTATGATTTTCTCGCGGTGTCTGTCATTTTGACAAAGCAAAGCGCCGCTACGCTACCACATCACACATGAAACAATGCCGCCACAACAACTTGAAAAAATCACCAGTTAACCTTCTACTACTACTTCACGCCCCGTTGTTTAAGTCGTCACACAGTTAGTTTTCCCAGCGTCACACCGCACTACCTATTATACCCATTAGACACCATTACACACAGGATTATTTTTGATATCCTCTTGCTCACTTCCTCCCTCCCCTCTCCTCTCTCTCCCTTTCCCGTTCCCCTCCCCTACTCTCCACCCCTGTCTATCCCCGTTCTCCCGCTGATTAGATATAAATTGATTACGAGGTGTCAAGGCAAACACGACACTAACCTCTTCATAAGTAGGTGGAGCTAAAAGGACGGTCTCCTCCCACTTCCTTAAGGTTAAACGAGAAGCTTCCCCAATTATATTTTTTTCTCGGGTCCCTACTCGCTTCTCTCTCCACATCGCTTCCTGGCAACGCCTCTCTACCATTATGATTGATCAAATATTTACTGAGGTGTTGTAATTAGCCACCGAGGATGGCTGTGCTTTCCTAATGCGATGAAATTACTCGTAATGAGGCAGTTAGACTGTTGTTTAACTGGACGGTAAACACTTCGATTAACAAGAGACGCTAAATGGATGGTGGCGATTAAACCTGGAACTCCTCAGTCGTTGCAGGATTTATAGCGCGTAATAATAGCCCCATTGGCATTAAAGATTTACACTTCATTTAATCACGAAGTAGATAAAATCACCAATCCAGAACGTGATCGTACTCATCATACGGCGAGGGGCCTTGAGGGCAGAGGGGGGGGGGGTAAAAGAGTTGGTGGATGGGCGGGAGGCCGGCGATGGAAAGTTTGTTACTATGCCTTGTCTTTTTGGATTTGTTTTCGAACTACTCAAGTGAAGTTATCAGCAATGGAAAAGTAAATAGTCAAGCAAACACATGCGAATTCATAATTTATTGACATCAAGCTAATTATAGTGGAAATAAACTCTCCTGCACACAAGACCACTTCACACGCCTGCCATTGGCGTTGTCATTATATAGATTATAATGCTTTTGCTTAAAAACAAAGGTTATTTTTGGAACACAATTTTCTTTTTCTGATCCTTGTTTTCTTTGGACACGGACTCCACCATTTATCCAAAATTATCTCTCATAACGTCATCATCACAGTTAATTGTGTATCAGGATATACCACATCGCTTTTTTTTTGTTTGTTTTGGTGTTTCATAATCCGTTATATCTATATTCATTACATATAAAGATCTGCCAGACGAAAACTGTTTATTGGAAATAAAAAGGCATCTGCAACAAATGGAATAGTAATTGGATGAGATATTGCAGTATGTCTTCAGGCAAAGTGAATTCTCCGCTGCTGTTAACCTTACGGCTAAGGAAGGATGTTTAAAGAGAACGAATAGGGAAGAGGGATGGGGGGGGAGAGTTGTCTGATATCCTAACAAGAGTCATGCAGGTGAAATATTCGCTTAAAAATAAGATTTTCTGTAAATTAAGATCGACGAAGCAGGGAAAGTTAGCGAAATGGAGTTCAAAGGAATAGCATGTGTTGGATGCATTTGCCTGGTCTTGGTTCTTTAATATGGATATTGAAAATGAAAATGTAGTGGCAAAGACGACAGAGAAGATTCCAAAGGGTCTCTGTTTAAATCGTGTGTGACCATAGAGGCTTAACTAATCAAACAGTTCAGAATACACAATTAAAAAATAGTTGATAGTCAGGCAGCATTAATTAAAACGAAGTCACCATGCATCATTAACCAAGCATAACAGAGATTGACATTATTCCAGCCCTGGTGGTGGATTCCACGCTCCGCTACTTGCCTTCAAACATCATTTGTGCAGCGAGTATCGGGTTAGTGGTTGCCTATGGAACGTTTTATATACGATTGACTTTATCCTTTATACTTTATGAATACAGGAGCGTCTTATATCATTGTTAAGGTCAATTTGTTTGATATTTCCTATCTAGATTTAAGCCAATTTAGGGGCTGGCGATATCCCTGAAATTACTGGTACTTAAAGTGTTAGAGTGGAATATTATTGGAGATCCTGAAAACAAGAAAAAAAAAAAAAAAAAAACGGGCAATACTTTGCTAATACTATATGAATGATCTGATGTTTTCACTCTCGGCCAAATTACTTTCTTAGTGATATGAATATAAAAACTTTTACTATATTCATTGATGCTTTCAAGCAATATTTAACCTTTCCACAGCTAGCAGCCAGCGGTTGTTAGCATTCGTACACTGGTTGTATTGCGTAGAATAGTAGTACGATATTTGTAATCAATGTAAGTGATAACTTTATATTTGTACCTCGGGGTTATTATTAATCTTATTATGTTATTTTACGCTTGGCAGCTACATTCGTACAGAATTATATGTCTGCCTGATATTACTCTAGGTTATTTGAGCTCTCTCATTTTCTCTTTGTACATCCTGAACTGATTATGAAACCACAAAATTTATGCACTATCTTAACGAACATAATTCCAAACATGTTTAATGTAAAACCATCATTTAACATTAGATATCAATCAGCGATAAGCAAACATTTTGCGTCAGTTCTTTAAGGAAAAGTATATAGTCTTTGGCTATTGAACCGTAAAGCTAAATCCATATATCTCTGTCAACAATACTTACATTACTACTAATGAAGTTGGGCCATGTTGGTTTGTGAAGGACTTTATGATTTCTGGAACTGAAACACACATTAGAGACCTCATGATAATGATAATGTCACTGGCAGCAGCAGTCAAGAAAAAGCTCACCCTGAAATTGATTATCCCTGTGGATAACAAAATAGGTTAGAAAATGTTAAACACTGAAAACATAGTGTACTGTCTTACAGGAGCGTGAAGAGAAAATGTTTGCTGGTTGGTTTGATCTACGGTCCGAATCTCCCCTAGGCATGGTGCCTGCACACTTCAGCTCAATTGCATACAATAGAGCCGAATACCATGATTAGCGTTATAATTTAGGAACTGAAAATCCATAGAAATAGGCCTAAAATGAAATACTGTTTCTTGTTTATACTGATTCCAATCTGTAAGATTACATGATTACAGATGCAGTTTTTGTCAAAATTTATTGTATGAATTAAAGTAGTTCAAGGATGTAGTGTTATTAAAAGGACAAGGGGAATCAAATTGCAAACACCGCCAGAAATAGAACTAGTTAGGTTTTGATATTTTTTTCATTTTTTACAATGAACTCATTATGTTTTGTCTTTGAATATGATTTTGAAACTTTTCCCTTATTTGGTCAAACTTCCCTCATCGTATTTGTCTTTAAACTCCGTGAATTTTCTGTTATTTCTAATGTAATTCTCAGGGCATTTTTTAAATTCTTTCGAAGTAGATCAAACAAATGTTGCAGAACTTTGAATGCATATCATATATAAACGACGTTTCCCTTTAAAAATAAAAAGTCAATGAACAGAGAAGACAATATCTGAAGTTTGTGTACAAATAATAGCAACATTCATCTTACATTGGTGAAGTGTAAAGTGTCGAGTAAACAGCTGATCTTACTATAAAGGCATGAAGAATATATGCAACATCTGGCGTTGAAGCAGTGTTAACAGGTTGCAGACAGATGGTGTATTGCTGGAGGGCTGTCATTAACCAGCTGGTATCTATTACACAGATGGTCTCTTATCATACATGGAATGAAGGAAAACACATTTGTGTACTGTAATAATATATATCACCAAATATCTTTTATATGTCCGGGTAGACATTTGTCTTTTTTTTTTAGTCTCAGTTTCTAAATTTTCTGTTTTATCTCCATTCTCAGTTCTCACCACAATCAAAGGAGGGAAATAATAATCTCTATTGATTGGTAGACAGATTTTATTAGGTGTATCGTTGTATCCATAAGGTTTAAAGCCTTACACTTGATACCTGGAATTTTACTTGCCTTAATAACTGTACATAACAATATCAATAAATTGTACCAATCATACATTTGAAGAAAAATAGGGTATCAATTCTATGCAAAAAACATTCAGCCGATTATGTAAAAATAAAGTGAAGGAGCCTTTGTTTTCTTCTTACTATATGGATTAATAAAATCTATATTAATCCCGGAGAGCACTGTAGATTAAATGCAATAAATACAAACTGAATCTACGTTCTATGGTGAATAGCTATACAACCTATAAGATCTGACATTAAGGATGCATTTTAATTAAAACGACACGCAGAATTTTCCAGTAGTACATAATGTGACACAAAGTATAATTAGAAGACAAAAACACATTCCAAAGTCGATGAAAAACAAGTAAACAATCACATACACATTACTGACAAATACATCGACAAATGGAACAGACTGAGAAATACAGACATACGCATGGTAAAGGAAACGATCTGCGCTTTACTGAAAGACACTCACTGATACCGACACACACACAGACACTCTGAAATACACTGACACACTCACACGTTCTCTCACACTCTAAACAAACAGCACAAGCAGACATTCCCTCTCCCCAGACAGGCAACGGAACGACACATACACGGCTAACTCACTGGTAACTGAAGGACAACCACGTCTTCTGCAGGAAATACCTGATCTCCTTTTAAAATAAATCAAATTCTTTTGTTTTTAAGCTGGAAAATGCAGAAAAATACGACTCCCATATTCGCTACATAGCTGAGAGACGAATGCTTAATAATAAGAGAAATAAAAATGTGCTTCTGAATGTGTACATATATGCGTGGTACATAGCACCACATAACGAAACTGGGCTGCGTGTGCTTCCTCTTTCTGCCCTTCTCTTCCAAGAAGGACATTAGAAAAAATAAAACGATAAAATAAAATCAAAGAGAACATCACAAATGCGGGCATGCAAGAGTGGTCCCTCTAACCACTGCCCTGTGCTAGGCTTACGAACTAGCTAACAGGCTTAAGTTGGTACATATCGAGTGTCAGTGACTGGGGTTTAATTCCCTTACCGAAGCCAAAGGATTAACTAAAACACAGCAGACTGTATTGGCTGAAATTAATATACTGTATACATATTTTTCAACTCATTTTTTAAATTAAAAAAGAAAACTCCCCTTTGCTACAGAGAAACATACTCACCGACATATAAAGTATTTACTCTACTAACTATTATGTTAAAAAACGAAGCATTTATCATAGACATAAACTAGAACATTGGACTGCCATAAGGAAGCCTACGACAAAAGCTGAAAGCCTCTACACTGCCAATCCCTGCAGAAATCACTTCGGAATTAGCAGCATTCTTGAACATTCAACTCTTGGTTATCAAAAATAAGAAACGGAAAGCTTATAGCAGTCACCACTGACTTCATAAAAGAGAAGGAAAAGTGATAGAAAAAGAGGGGAAGAAAAAATCTGCAAACTATAGATAAATGAGAGCAGACATAAATGCTGTGGAAGTACGAACGCTCTGGGATATTTGTCATTGCTCGTGATCTGTGGGTGAGATCGGGATGCCACTATTCCATCACTAAGAGGTGGACACAAAGGGTGTGGAAGACGGGGCTCTCTTAGGGGGGCGGGGTCGCTATAGTAGACAGAGAGAAAAGGAAAGAGCAGTAACAGAGGTAGTAGAAGACAAGGAAGGAGAACAACAATGGGGAGGTGAAGAAGGACGAGGAGGAGGAAGAAGAGAAGGAGGGGAAGGACGAGGAGGAGGATGAAGAGAAGAGAGTTTCAGAGGTGCAAGTGCGTCGGGGGAGAAGACAATCCGGGAAGCAAGGAGACGTTGTGAGAAAGGCGCTGGCGATTGTGCTGCACTTCACTACTAAGAGCTTGTTCAGGTACGGTCGCTGTTCGATCCAGGTTGGCAAGAGCCCACTACTGTTCCTTCCTCGCGCTCCCTTGTCTGGAAAAAAACAAAAAGATTTAGGGCATACTCGTTTTTTATGACTATTACATAACGAAAAAAAGAAAGAAAGAAAGAAAAAAAAAACGCCGAAAAATACATGCACGGTAACCCTGCATGCATGAATACTGTTTAATATCTAAAAGCTACTATCAACGAATGCTATCTACATAACGGAAAATCAAGACAAAAAATAAATAACGCATTTGTGATGCGAAATTCATAAAAGTAGAAGGGGTGGGGATAGAGAGGGTGAGGCTGAAGGAGGAGAGAGAGGGAGGGAGGGAGAAAGAGTGAGTGAGTGTGATCCGCAACAAGTACTTCACACCCTCAAGACCCAAGAATGGCCCGCGGGCGTGAGGGGAGGAAAAGAGGGCATGCAGTCTTCCAAGGAATCTACTCCACCTCTACTCCACCTACCACTACGAACGTGCAACGCCACCCTTCCACCTCACCAGTCCTCCTCCATCTCGTTGAACTCCACCATGCCGTCGCCCGCCGCCAGCTGCATGTCCTCCACCTGTGCAGGAACATAAAGCATAACGTTAATGTATGATAATAATAATAATGATGATAATAATAATAATAATAATAATAGCTAGAAGCACTCAGAGAGCGCATACCTCCGTCAAGGCAATAGGGGTGCCTAATTCAATAATAAAAAAAACTTCCTGGATCCGGATCATCATATATAACAACAACAACAACAGCAGATATTAATAATAATAACAATTATAATAATCATAATACTACTACTAATAACTACAACAACAATAATAACAGTAATTATCAGAACAACAGTAATAATCATAATAACAGTAACGATAATAATACACCAATCATAAAAATTATAAAAAGACAAAGGTGGTAATACTAACGTTACAATAACACTACCAATAAAGTCACACACATAAAATACATTTGGTACCAAAGTAGTCTTTTAAATCGAAGTTCAGCTTCTCCATCTTGCGCTGAAGCAAATGCTCGTCTTATCTCGTGACATCAAACACTGACAAGAAGGCTAAGCACAAGATATCGCTCGTCTTAATGCGCTCACCTGAAACGACTGAGTGGACCTCACGTCTCAGAAAAAGGAAAATGTTCAACTGACAGATGTGTGTGTGTGTGTGTGTGTGTGTGTGTGTGTGTGTGTGTGTGTGTGTGTGTGTGTGTGTGTGTGGTTCGTGTGTGTGTGTGTGTGTGGTGTGTGGTGCGTGCGTGCGTGCGTGCGTACGTGGTGTTGTGTGTGTGTGTGTGTTGTGTGTGTTTGTGTGTGTGTGTGTGTGTGTGTGTGTGTGTGTGTGTGTGTGTGTGTGTGTGTGTGTGGTGCTGTGCGTGCGTGCGTGCGTGCGTGTGCACGTGAGCCCTGCATTTATGTGCGTGACATGGTACATGTGTGTGCCACAAAGTGCGTGTCTCGGAGACGTCCAGGTGTGCAGTAAATCACTTGCGTATCGCGCGGACCAAAAACAATGGTAACATCATCACTGGCCGCCCCGCGCCCGGGTGCTCCGGACCCCCCACGGCATGCCGGCGATCGCTGCTCTTAAGCGCAACACACACTGCGCTGTCTATCAAATATGCAAAACACCCAGAAATAAAAAATGCAAATGGAAGAATAAATTAAAACCGACAACACAACGACACACGACACAAACGACACGGCGCGGCGCTCAGGCCACCCGCCAACCAACAGGCCTCACCCTCAACACTCTTGTCTCAATAACGCCGCTGCTCCATAGTATTCCTTGTCAATTCGGCCCCCCCTCCCCCAATGCTCCCGTTCCCCCGCCCAAAGGGGTAGTCGGACCTCACGACCCAGCTGAACCCCCTCCCTCCGCGGCCAAGCTGCCCCCGCCTGCACCCTCGCACATCTGGCCGTCCCCCAGCCTCGTCAGCCGTCTTCAACTATAGACGGTTTTGAGGCCGCCCACCCGTCAACCAACAGCGCTGCCGCATGTGTGCCTCTTGTCTTTCATAATAAACAATAAATATTCCTCGCACCAAAGGGTCGGCCCTCCCTCCCCCTCCCTCCCGCCCCCGTCCCATCGCCTCTGGCCGTCCCCCCTCCCCCTCGGCCCGCGCGGACAGCTTGAGGCCGCCCGGGGGGGGTTTCCCACGAGGGTAAGGTGGCACATCGCGAATGAGGGAGAGGGAGGGGAGAGGGGAGGGGGGAGGGGCGCGAGGCGAGCAACGTGTTGGCGGCCCATACCAGACTGTGGAAGAAGTTAGGAAGGGGAAGAGAAAGGGGAAGGGGGAGGGGAAGGGGGAGGGGAGGAGCTGGCACGGGCGGTAAGAAATATGTCCTGATGTGCCCCAGCCTTACACACGAATCAGATGCAGAACAATCATGCACATACACACCCTCTCATGTCTTCAACTATACACGTTCACATTCATAAAACAATGAAACAAACATCCCTGGACGCCCGCAAGCATGACCACAAGACACTCAAACATCATTTCACAAGCACAAATAATTCACAAACCTTGACGACCGCCTTCAGACCTCATCACAATACAGTTCTGCCGCCCAAGACCATCCAAACAGCCACGCTTGATAATTGCAAATTTCCTAAAAATACAAGTCCCTTTAACGCAGCAGTATATGAAATGTGGCGTGAACATTCCGTAGATTCCCAGAGCTAAGTGGCTGCTAAAGATTCGAATATGCTAACGATGGCCGCGTCCCCACGCTTTTTATGGATTAAGTTCGGTTGCCGGTAGATTTAGTATGAATGCTTTTTACGTTTATAAACGTTGCAATGCATACCTTGCATTCTGGGCAATAAGATGGCGTTCGTGGCTAACAGCTGCAAACCGAGCGGAGACATATGGACAGGACTGTTTTATCCATTATCATAAATTCAGACACACATATTCGTCAGCATACACACACACACAAAGACACATGAAAACCTACAACAAGTGTTTGCATGGTAATTCTGACCCATCGATTATTTACATAGATAAGAGCAAATGCTGCCGAAACCGGTCCAAGACACATCACTTTTTTTCCCTCGTTTTGTGGCCAGGGGGAGGGATTTAAAAGCATATATAAAAAAAATATATGAATATGTATAGATGGATAAATAGATATATAGATGTGTGTGTGCGTGCAGTGATTTTATCAACCACTGCAGACAAGAGTAATAATATGAAGAAAGGGAGTCAATGGAGGAAGGGACAGAGAGAGGGAGAGGGGGGAGGAGAGAGAGAAAAAAAGAGAAAGAGAAAGAGAGAGAGAGTGAGAGAGATCGCTTCCATGCAGCCATCGGTGCAATACCAACATCTTGGTAGTGAGAAAGCGCTGTGTCAGAAATTCAATCTTAGCGATCTGTGTCTCCCCGCAGTCCTGTTGCAGAGAAGTTGAATGAAAGTTGAAAGACACGCGAAGTGTGAATAGAGAGAATGAATGAAGGGTGAAGGAAGGAACAAAGTAGAATAAAAGGAAGAGATGGAGACAGACACTAAGAGAACGAAGAAAAAGGGGTGAAATATCCAAAAAGAAAGTTGGGAAACACATCAGAATGACGGGAGACATAGGAAGAAGGAACATGAATGAAATGACAGGAAAATAATGAGGTGGGGTCAAAAATAGAAAGATAAAATGTATGGAAAAGAACAAAAGGAACTGAATTGCGGAAAGAGGGATAGACAGACAAGAAAAACAATTCAGTGGAAAAAGGTGAGGAAGAATAATGCAACTGGAAAACTAAACGAAAAATACTGAGAAAACGAAAAAGCAGAAAATGAAGAAGAAAAAGAGTAGAAATAGCAAGTATATATGTATATATGTATGAATATATATATATGTGCGTGTGTGTGTGTGTATGTGTGTGTGTGTTGTGTGTGTGTGTGTGTGTGTGTGTGTGTGTGTGTTGTGTGTGTGTAATACACACGCACACCTATGCATGGACAAATAGATATGCAGATATGTGTGTGCAGTGATTCTATCAACTACTGCAGACAGAGTAAAAATAGGAAGGAAGAGAGTTAATGGATGGAGAGAGAGCAGATAGGGGAGGAGGGAGGGAGAGGGGAGAGGAGAGAGAAGAAGGAAGAGAAAGGAGGAGGAGAGAGAGAGAGAGAGAGGGAGAGAGAAGAAGAAAGGAGAGAGGAGAAGAGAAGAAAAGAAAAGAGGAGAGGAAGAGAGAAAGAAAAGAGAGAGAGAGAGAGAAGAAGAGAGAGAGGGAGAGGAGAGGGAGAGGAGAGGAGAGGGAGGGAGGAGAGAAAGAAAGAGAGAGAGAGGAGAGAGAGAAGAGAGAAAATGGATAGAGAAGAGAGAAGAGAGAGAGAGAGGCGAGAAGAGAACGAGCGCCGAGAGATGAGCAGCTCGGATGAGTGACAGCTGTAGTGGGCGCGGGGACGTGCAGTAACACCGGAACAAGGCCCGGATTAATGGCGTGCATTACCGCTCTCACGGCACATATAAACCCCATTAATCACGACCGCCGACCCCTTGGCACGGCGGCCGCTCAGACCTGGCCCGCTCGCCTTGTCAGCTACATTAGCCCGACACGACCCGCGACTTAGGACGACCCACTCACGCCCCTGGCCGGCAGAGAGGCCCTCCGCGCGCCCGCCCGGACCTGCACGTTGCATGTTCGCCTGCGCAAGGACGGTCGGGAGCGGCCGTGTGTGTGGCTGTCACGGTGTTTTTCCTCGTATTTTTTCATAACAATATTATTATTCTTATCTATCCTGCCATAGTGATAGATAGAGAGATAGAGATAAAGAGCGTTAGAGCGAGCGCGTGAACTCAATTCAATGCTATCTGATTTGCTTGAGTTTCGGGGCGTGTGTGAGTGCTTGCGTGCGTGCCTGGACGCGGCCTATCGTCGGGCAGCCCCAGCTTCTTCTAAACAACCGGAGCTCCCTGTATGCTAATGACGAGTCGCTAATGATGTCGGGCGAAGCTGGCGCGTCATCCTCCGACCGCCCATGCCTCGCCTCCTCGACTCGTCCCCGCCATGGGCATCCGAACCCCCTCCCCCCTCAGCGCCAACCCCAATCACCCCCTCACTCCTGTATTTGCAATCACACCGACCCGCTCGCCTCCGCTTATCTCTGTAATCATTCGCCAAACACTTAACCTACATTATGGCATTTCACGCGCCGCTTTTTGCCCTTGTTTACTTTCCCGTCTGCATTTTATCAGTTGCAATTGATGGGATAGTGCAGAAAGAGAGAGTGTGAGAGGGTGAATGAGAATGAGAGAGAGAAAGAGTGGGAGTAAGAGAATAAGAGAAAGAGAGAGAGAGAGAGAGGGAGAGAGAGGAGAGAGGGAGGAAGAGAGAGAGGAGAGAGAGGAGAGAGAGGAGAGAGAGAGAGGAGAGAGAGAGAGAGAGAGAGAGAGAGAGAGAGAGAGAGAGAGAGAGAGAGAGAGAGAGAGGGAGAGAGAGAGAAAGAGAGAGAGAAGAGAGAGAGAGAGAGAGAGAGAAGAGAGAAGAAGAGAAGAGAGAGAGAAGAGAGAGAGAGAGAGAGAGAGAGAGAGAGAGAGAGAGAGAGAGAGAGAGAGAGAGAGA